ACCAACCATTGCTTGTAGACCAACCCAATCTACAGCAACACTTTGGGAATTTCATCTTCTTGCACTCAAAACCTATAATGCTCACACTGAAAACATGGTCTCTCTCAAATATTTTCTCTTCTCTCTCAAATCTTTGTTTCTTCTCTCAGATTTAATGCTTCTTGCACAGATATTTTCTCCTCTCGCTTGCCTCCTTCTCTTCGCGCACAAACCGCGCTCTGCTCGGGTCTCAGATACGCTCGCAAACCGTAGGCTCTGCTTGCGGATTTATTTTGCTCTCTCTCAGATTGGATCGGATCGTCGCCTAGCAACCTTTCCAGCGTGACAGCCTCGGAAAGGGTGTGCATGTCTAGCTCTACTGAGTGTGCCTGTGATAAACCTTACAGACAATAAATTGTGAAATAATAAAGGCGCGATTCAAGAATCACCAATGAAAAGTCACTTAATTTCTTGCTGGAGGCAGAATTAGCGTCTGTCCTGACTAGCAAACTTTTTTTTTTTTTTCTGACGAGCAACTCTGAGTTTTCTGTTCAAATCACGTCACGTCTGAAAATGGATACCTTTTAAATTAAAAAGCTATTTTATTGTCGGTAAGGTAACTACTGAGTAAGGTAACTCAGTAGAGTTAGACAAGCGCACCCTTTCTGAGGCTGTCGTTCTATTGGCTGGAAAGGTTGCTAGGCGACGATCCGATCCAATCTGAGAGAGAGCAAAATAAATCCGCAAGCAGAGCCTACGGTTTGCGAGCGTATCTGAGACCCGAGCAGAGCGCGGTTTGTGCGCGAAGAGAAGGAGGCAAGCGAGAGGAGAAAATATCTGTGCAAGAAGCATTAAATCTGAGAGAAGAAACAAAGATTTGTGAGAGAAGAGAAAATATTTGAGAGAGAGCGCATGTTTTGAGTGTGAGCATTATAAGTTTTGAGTGCAAGAAGATTAAATTCTTTTCTCAAATTGAAATGATGTGCTCTTGCATTATGGCAGGATAATTCTCCCATATCTAACTCATTATGGGATGGTTTTCCTACGTTCTGTCCTGCATATTTCAGGTGTTTCT